ATAAAATGCATTCCAACACAGAGGAGAATGTCCAAAGGCTTTTTATCAATGGAAACATTCATGAAAATGGTTATCGTGTCTTCTTGGTCTATAAATGATGTCTTCTACAATGGATCTTACAGTTTTAAAAACACCACTAAGAGATAATGGTACATTCTGACACATTTCAGAAAAATTTGTTAGTACCTTTGCCATAAAACTCATTAAAGGTTGCTGTGTTTTTCAGTGACATGTAGCTCACGACAGCACTCAGGATGAAGACTCAGATGGGCGCACTGTACCAAAGCACAACTGTGCAACATGTTGTAAACTAGCTGCAATTCTCTGTAGCTGTGTTCATCAACCGTGTAACAGAATTGTAATGTTCTCCTAAGCCATATGCATGTCTCATATATCTGAAATAAAAGTAAAAAAAGAGAAATGAACAATTTGGGTGAAAGTACTTCAGTATATGTTAATTTTTATATAGTATGTAAACAGATATGTTTAATACATATATAAATCGAAACATTCTGAATAAATCACTTCCCAGGGATATCAATCAACAGAGTATGTCATCATATTGCTTAAAACACCGTTTGAAAAGTACCCACAGTCACCAACAACCGACTCAACAGCCCTGTCTGCCCAGCTTAAGTCAGGTAAACACATCACCACAGGGGGAAAGACAGACTGAGATGGTAAGTGCTCAATAAGCTTACATTGTTCCCTAAATCCAAGTCACCGATAAACACCTCCTTAGATTTAACTATTAAATACCAAAGCAGTTAACAAACCCTCCCTACTGTGAAGGATTTCAAAAAGTTCATGGGAAAAAGGAAGTAAGATAATGAAGTTTTCCTTGAACTTTTGAACTCCCCTCATGTTTCAAGGACAAGGTCCTGATCATATACTTTTTTCACAATATGAAGAAAAAGAATCTCTAAAGCGAATAAAGAATCAGGCAACACACATTTGTACTATCCTATTTGTTGAAACTTTAAGCCTCATGATTGTAGAATCAGGACAATATGCACACATGTCCTCAAACCTTGTAATCTCTGGGAATGACTGCATTCTCTAATCTTTGAGAATAAATCATTAGGCAGTCAAACAATTACCTAAGTTGCATGTTTGTATAATTTTGTTGTTGTTGTTGTATACTTTACCTTTAAGGTAAAATAAGCATAATTAGTTCAGCTGAAGATTTTTTGAACAATCAACAGTCTCTTTTTATTCCTTTTTGCACTAATTCTGAAAAAGGAAACAGTAAATATGTCAAGGTACTTACACAAGCATTAATGGGTTTTTTTTATATTCTTCACCAACTATAATCGGAGGGGAATCTGCCTGTATTACTTCTATCGGTGTTTGTAAAATGTGAGACAGCGCTCTTAGCTTCAGGGGAAAGAAAAGATGCATTAGTAGACGGAAGTGTACATTTTATACAATCATAGACTACGGAAGCAGGCATGAATAAGGCCGCCAGTAGGAACTGCGCTCGGTTCATCACTGGGCATCCAGAACAAACACATCACGACAACAACCACACCGACAGCCTTTAAGTGGATTCAGACGCACAGAGACCTGGAGGGCAGAAGAGAACCCGGCCTGTGAACTTCCAAGGCTGTGCGTCTGAACTGGAACAGAAAGCCTCGTGTTTCCCTCAAAGTAGCCTGTGGATTTCAAAATGCCGACCTTGTGCTCAGCAGCCCAGTGAGTCCCCACCTCACTACCAGAGCCTGGTGTGTGCTCACTGTCGCGGCCATCGGGGCGAGGGCGACTCATAGCACTTAGTAAGTACGGCTCAATAAGCAAAATGTTTATTAGCTCACACATAGAGATTTTCTGAAACCCTGACTGCACTGCAGCTTTTAAGAACTATCAATGCCATTAGTAATGAAGTGCAATGTGATGGGTAGACTGGGCTCACTGCATTAGTCTCCCTACTTGTGAGTATGTTTGAAATTGTTCACAAGAAATAAGTTTTTAAAAACACCATTAAGGAAGCAACACACCAAATAAACTATAATTTGGAAGGGAAACAGTATATAACATGAGGTTTTTTCAGTGTTTTCTTAAAGCTTTCTTAGATAATTCTTATGTATAGTCAAGGTTGAGAATCACTGCTATGAAAATGTCCCACACATTAGTATATGAACTGTACCCTACTTTGAAGCATTTCCATTTGATTCACAATTTCGAAAAAAAATTCACATAATATCAAATTGGGGCTTAAAAAGTGATTAACAATGAATATTGCTAATAATCAAATTAGTTACAAACAAGGGCTCTAAGCACTTTATGAATTCAATCTTCACAATAATGCTATGGTAACTATATAGTGGGCTCTTGAATAATGTGCATTTGAGTTATTTGAACCATGAGTTTATCAGCCCAGTGGATAACTCACCAGGGCTCCCAGACCACAATAAGCAGCAGGGAAGAAAAATCTGCATACAAGTAATCCTGCAGAGTTCAATCCTGTGTTGTCCAAGAGTCAACTGCACTATTGTTAGGATCACTTCAAATGCCTAGAATCTGCAGTAGAGGAGGACTGGCAGGGCTTACCTACAGTCAATCTCTAGGAAATAAAATGATCCACACCAGAATTGAGAAAATCTGATTCTAGAACCCAAGTTCATAACCAAATGAATCATTAACAATCTTCTATCACAGTGCCCCTGAAGTATATTTATTTGCCCCATTATACAACAATTTTGTCTAAAGCAGTGTTTCCCAAAGTGGGTGCTAGTGGCCCCCGGAGGAGGAGGGGCAGGAATAGCCCAGGGGCCTACACTTCATACTGGATACGGGCTAGAGTTAAGTCATGGCCAAGGGGACCCTGAGTTTGGTTTTTCCTCCTCCTGAAAAGGGGGAAGTAGGTCAAATAAATTTGGGAACTTACGGTCTAGAGACCATGGTTCTTTTAGGAAGCCTTAAAAGAAACTACAGTAGCAACATATAAAGAATTCTCTATCAAATGAGAGCAAGTTAAAATCCAGACCCGGTTTCATAAAATGTTCCTATGGAAAAGATATAACATAGAAGAAAATGGAAATCCGGGCCAATGGAAATAAGGGCAGTGTGTGAGCTGCAGAGCAACCAAACCTCTTGCGCAGTGGACTTTCCCAAGTAGGGGCCAGGCCGTGATGCCCCACACAATGACAACTAGCTGCAGCTCTTTGAATGTGCTGGCCACCATCTGAGCGGGGCCCTTGTTGTCACTGGACATGACTGAAGTATTTAGAACCATTCAAAGCCCTGCTTTTTTTCTAAAATGTCAAGCAACATTTTTTAAAAGCTAGCATGGTATGTACACTTGTAAATGAGCTCTGGTAAAATTAGTATCAACTCCAAGCCTTCAGATATTACATGAAGACCTCTTTAATAAATGCACATGAAATTAAAATTCTTATTTTAATTCACAGGTGAGCAATTTATGAGTAAATCTATTTCAAAAGATGCTTTATAAGATTGTTCTTACTTTTTAAAAATTACTTAACTAAAAGCCTATGTTAATTCGTGATTCTTAAAAGAAAGTTCTGGCATCTTCCAGAGTTTGGAATACCAAGAACACAAAATTAATGGACATAGTTCCCCCTGGTGGCTCAGAAGAGTAAAATTACAGTACTCCTAAGAAATATTTTTATGGAAATATTCATGCGACAGCTTCAAAATATAGTTGAAATGAACTAGATCCCCAAACTACTCAAGATGACCATGCTTCATTTTAAGATAATAATGATAACAGAATCATCTATCAGACACTCTAGCTTACAAACTTCTATAAATGCAGCCCATACCTAGGATTTAATGTTTACAATCCCCTAAAGAGTACACACAAGTGTTTTATTGTCCCTGTTCAATCATTCAGAGTGGACGACTTCTACAAGCACATCATACTGAAACGTGACAATAAAAGCCAGGATACGGACCTGGGGCTTGCCCTGTCTTCCTTCCCTTCTTATCCTCCATCTTTCTATACACCAGGCTCGCTTATCGCCAGTTGAACAACACAAATTTTGTGGATATTTTGCTTTGATATAACAAAGGTAACAGTAAGGTAAATAATTATAGAGCTAAAGAGAAACTAAGTCCCTACAAGTGATTGAACATATCGTTTTCTTGCATTTGAATTTTAATATATGAAAGACTGCTATCAAGTAAACTAAATTACTATAAGCTAAATATTCAAACACATTTTAATAGATGTGTGTGACAGGATTTCACCTGTAGCTTCACACTAAAATATTGCTTTCTATTTCTGAGGTAATGGAGAAGGTACTTCTCCAATAGTTAATATTCATCAGCTGAGCCATAGGGCAGTTTACTGTGCTTGAGTAAAGTCTTCTTTTTCACAGGTCCAGAAAAATCAAGTATATTGCCAATAGCAGCAAAATAAACGGAAAGGCTTATGCAGATTCAACAGCAGCTTAGCCAACAAGCAGATCAACTAGTGCACTATATAGGATGAAATCGTGCTACACTTGAAGAAAAGTAAAAGCCTTTATTCAAAGGCCCAAGAATGTTAACTCCCTATTTCAATGCTTTGTCAGTCAACAGCAAATATCTTTTTCAAAAGAAATTGGAATCATTTGGGGGAAAAAAAGTCCAAAAATAACAGATGGGATTTGGAAACAATTGAACAATTCACAAGCACTATGAATAATCACAACTTACCTCAAGCTGACCTCCCCATGCAGCTGTGTTTACAACATCATCACAGTATTTTCCAAAATCTTCTGTAGAAATAGATCAGAATATAACACTTTATAATTTTTATAACTCACACTGCAATATCCCTTTTATAGCTCCTGCAATTCCTAATGGCCCTTCCCAGGTTATGAACTTCTCTACCAGTACCCCTGTGGAATTTAATCAATTTCACAGATCTAAACTTACCTCAACTTTCCATCCAAAAACAAAACAAGGCATTTCTGCTTCTCTTGCTCAGCCCAAGGGAGGTCCAGGGTTCTTAATGATGAAACCAGCCTACTTCCCTTTCTTTATCCAAAGTAATCACTCTCAAAATTGCCACTCGATTTCACTCTCTTCTACATGTTCCCCCCAAAAATACAAACAAAAAGAGGCAGCCCCGTTATAATAATGTTCCTATAACACCCTCTAGTCTAGAAGCTGTGACAACGTAGTGGGTACAAGTTGGGATGCGGTCCACAAGGCCAGTCATCCAAAACCACCAGGGCTTTCTACTCTTGTAAACAGAGTCTTAGAAACTCACAGGGGCAGTTCTACCCTGTCCTTCAGGGTCACCACAAGTCACCACTAACTCTTAGGCAGTGAGTCTGGTCTAGTTGGATGACACCCTCTAAGGCAGATAAGAAGAGACTCAAGGTAAAAGTCAAGCTCCTCCAAACCAGAGAGAACATCAGTGGCTCCTTCACTTGTTCTTTTGAAAAGATCTACCTTACTCATTTCCATCAGTAAATGCTCTGGCCAGGCAAATCAAAAGTCAAATTCACTGCCGAGTAAAATCTGACTCATAGTGACTCTTTAGGACAGAGTAGAACTCCCTGTGTGTGTGTTACCAAAACTGTAACTCTTTATAGGAGTACAACACTTCATCTTTCTGCCACGGAGCAGCTGGGGTTTCAAAGTACTGAACCCAGAGGTTAGCTAGTCAATATATAAGCTGCTATGCCGCCAGGGCTCCTCCTGAATCATCCCTGAAAGCTGAAGGTAAAGACTTAATTGCAGTTTCTGTTGAGCATATACATATTGTGTACAGACTTTTGCACATGCTACAACAGCATTTAAACCTTTGTGCCATCCAGGAACCCCTATTTTGGGAATCAGGAAGAATTATGGGTTTTTAGGAGAAAGCATGTCCCATGAGAGAATGAACTGCATTGGTCTCCTTCCCCAATATATCCCCAGTGCTCAGAACAATCACTAGACCAACAGCCAGCACATGGTCACCTTTAATTAAACACAGGGAGTTTTTCATCTTTTTCTGACTCAGCGTGCCGAGTTGTCACTTCCATTCAACTACTTGACAACTAGCAGAGCCCTATTATGTTACTTCTACCTATCTAAGACAGACAAGTTTTCATAGCTGTAACAAATTCTATTAGAAAAGTGGGTGAAGGGAGATGTCAAACAGTGTGAGATATGACAAAATAATAATAATTTATAAATTATCAAGGGTTCATGAAGGAGGGGAGAGGGAGGAGGGAGAAAGATGAGGAGCTGATATCAAGGGCTCATGTAGAAAGTAAATGTTTTGAGAATGATGATGGCAACAAATGGACAAATGTGCTTGACACAATGGATGGATGTATGGATTATAAGAGTTGTATGAGCCCCCAATAAAATGATTTTTAAAAAACAGCAATGATACCTAAAACAACAAAAAAGTTGTCAACATGTTCTATAGATTTCTGTGGTAAGAGATGGCTCTAGAATTAGATATCCACAACAGAACCTGAGGTCTATAAAAGTGATACTTATGACCAATGGAGACCTAACTCAATGGCAATGTTCATTCTGATCCACTTCGTATTGTGATTACTCAATCTTCCATGGACTACGGATTCCAAGAAAGGAAAGTTAACCCTGACCTTTATCTTCTTCACTTAGCAACTCTGACCTTCCTCTTAACTTATCCTGCTCAAGAAACTTCCTTTCAATGGAAACTCCTCCACGTGTCATCTTCGCTCGTGTGAACTTTATTCCATCCCTTGGGAAAAACAGTAATTCCAGCACACAATTGTAGCTCATGTAGAACCTGAACTTAGGCCAAGAGGCAGCTGATGGATCAGAACAGGGGCTACTATGTCAACATTTCAAATCTAGAAATGTTTACGTTAAGGTTGAACCTCTTCACTCTACTTACATAACGTTGAGAAACAGAGGCGGATGTCGTTAAAGATGTATAATTTTACTTGGATTCACAACTACTGTTCATGGAAGCAGGGAGCTGACGCATTGCATTGGGCAGATCTGCTGCACGAGGCTCTCTAAAGCGCTACAGAAAGAGCAAAGGTAGCACCCTGTGCACAGACGCAAGTACACATGATCTCAGCCAGGGTGTTTCCAATCCCCTTTCATGCTGTGTATAAAGGAGAACATAGGATTGATGCATGCACATTAGTGCTGGCACGCAACACTGTAAAGACCATGGGCTACCAGAAGAGCAAACACATCTGTCTTGGAAGAGGGACGGGCGGCAAGACTTCATCCAGCTTAATTTGGACATGTTATCAGGGAGAACTAGTCCCTGGAAAAGGATGTCAACTTGGTAGAGGAGAAGCAAAAAGGGGGAAGACCCTTGAAGACAGGAATTCACACAGTGGCTGCCAGCATGGACTTAAACATAACAATCTTGAGGATGGCCAGGAGTGGTGTCTCATTCTGTGGTACACAAGATCACTATAAATTACAATAGATTCGATGGCACTTCACAACATCCCATGCTTGCTGAAAGTGAGGAAAACTTGAAGCTACACTTCAATACAAAGAAATCAAAAGTCCGCACAACTGGACCTTTAAGCAAGAGGAAAGACTGATGTTGAGGACTTCATTTGAAAACACCCACGGAAACAGCAGTCAAGAACTGACTATACATTGCATTGGGAAAACCTGCTGCCAAAAAGTAATGATGCTACTTTGACGACCAGCGTATGCCGAAACCTAGCCATGGTGATTTTAACTGCATCACATGCATGAGAAAGTTAGGTAATGAATGAGGGAGAGCAGAGTTGGTGCCTTTGAATTGTGATATTGGTGAAGAATACAGACTGCCGGTAGATTAAACAGATCTGTCTTAAAGGAAGCACAGCCAGACGCTCCTTAGAGGCGAGCAAAAAACACAACAAAAGTGAGGTTAGCGAGACTCTCGCTCACATATTTTGGACATTCTATCATGACTTATCCCTGGATAAGAACAGTCTGTTTGGAGCAGAGGGTCAGAGTTTAAATGATCCTCCACGGGCTGGACTGATATCATGGCTACCACAATGGGCTGAAACATTGCAACGATTTTTGAGGGTAAAGGGCAGGACAGTGCTTCACTGTTACACTGTAAGGGTCACTGTGAGTCAGAGCTGACACAGAGGGATACTCATGAGTTGAAGTCTGCATGTTGCTTTACTACCATCAGAGCAGGCAGTGTTAACATGTCAAATATCCTTTGTGGTTTTTATTACTGCTTTTGATTATAGGTATTTGAAACACCTGACAGTGGTTTGAATAATAAATCATGAAATAAACTACTTGTGAGTGAACTGAGAATAGTGGCATTAGCAAGCCACATGCTGTAAATATTACATTAAAAGCAGCACAAAAATAAAAACCGATGCTGACTGTTAAGTGAAATTCATTATCACTTGAATATGTTATAATGTCCTAAGTTGGGACTACCTATATAAATATTCTGCCTAAATGCTGTGATTTTTTTTTCCTCATAGAATCATGGTGTTTTTTATGCTTGATTCCAGGCAATACTTTATTCAAAAGCAGTAAAATATAGTAAAGAAAAAGAATTTACCTAGAGTATAAATATCTCCTGTATTAGGGTTTGTTAAAAATGGCAGAAAGTCTTCCACGTGGCTTTGCATGTATTCAGCAGTCTGACGTCTTAAGGCAGCCACAGTTACAGTGCCACCCTGCTCCTTCAGCTGATCCTCAATGGCTCGATACAAGCAGTGGCCATCAGATGGAATCTGTTTAATTTCCAACTGCCTGGCTGCCAACATTTGGGCAAGTTTTTGACTTTCTACCTGTCTGGCTCCAGATAAGTTCTCAATTTCAGCTTCGGCTATCCTTTCTTCCCGCTCTTTTTCCAGTGCAGCTTTCTTTTCCTAGGAAAAGATGGAGAACGTAGAAAAGTTAATTCAGATCATTAGGACTGACTCTCATTTATTAGAGAAATGGAGATACAAGATTCTCAAACCTTTTGGCCATTTTTCTCCCTTCTCCCATAAGGACTATCATTCTGATTATCTCAACACTTGTGAAGGTTTCTACACTCTGAGCTTCTTAGTTTAGTTCCTAACGTTATGAACGTTCTACACTATGAAGTAGGCCCTTAAGGGCAAATCATCTATCTCTATGTTCCCAGAACCTAAGCACTGTATTAATACACTGTACTGATGTAAGAATGCCCTTACATTTTTCTCCCAGCCATACTTAAAACCTACATGCAAAGTTTTCAAAACTCTTTACTCATTTGAAGTTTGTGTCTTTAAGATTGGGCTGTACTGAGCCTTGAAACACATCATCACTATATTCTAGCTTCTTTGTTGATCACTACGCATGAGGCATTGCTTTGTTTAGACAAAGTTTTCCTTTGCTTAAAAAAAATGTACCTATATACATTTGATAGAAAACATTCTCCTTTATAAAAAATTAAATATTAACAGTAAACTACAGTTATCTTTAAGGACCACTACTAATCTCAATGTTTTTACAGAGTTATGTATGCCTATTGTTTTTATCTGCTTTGATACCTTCCCATTAAAATATATGCAGGGATACGGTAGGGTAAGGTTAAAGATCAGGGACTTAAGGGATGGATGTTGTGTTTTCTAAGCTGCAATCCTTGTGGGAGTAGACTGCCAGGTCTTTCTCCCATGGAGCCACTGGAGAGATTCAAACCAAAAGAGTGAAAAGTGGGAAACTTGGGAAAGAGAAAAAAATCACTAACAATTTGACTAGCAATGGTCAAAAGCCAGAAAGCTTGGTTATTCATAGCTAAATCAGCACACTTAGCTAGGACACTAGAAAAAGTGTCTAGAGATAATAGGGGACAAAGTATAGCTCGGGGACAGAAAAAGACAGTATATAGTTAACATGTATATAATCTAGGCAAAGTTAAAAAACAAACAGACAAAAACCCTAGAAAGACATATACAAAATATTTATAGTGCCTTTCTATAGATGGTAGGATTATAGATAACGTTTATTCAATGTTTTGCTTTTCTGTTCCTAAGTCTCTAACATGAGCACATTTTACCAGTCTGCCCCATGGAGAAATTCTTTCAGAGACAAGGGGGGTTGGGTGGGGGTGCTTGCTTTTTAATGCTAGTGAATGAAAGTACTTGAAATACATGCTTTACGTTTTGCTGTTGGTTACATTTACAGTGAAGGACTTAGTAAACAGCAGAAATTTTTAAAAAGGTGGAACAAGGTAAAGATATTGCATGCCTTTATTTCTAGCTCTTTGGGCTAGAGAAAATAGGAAGGCAAATTTCAAGTAAATTGAATGCCATATATTTGTACTGTACATGTCTTCTGCTGTGCCATGCAGATGAACCTAACATGATAGTTACCTGAATCAAAAAAATAAAGCAAAAGCCTATTTAAGATTTTTCCTACCGATTTCAACAGGGCCAGAACTAACACAAGCATTTCAAGGCCCACCTACAACTGGAGATCCTAAAGACATAACATCTCGAAACACAAGATGGCGCTGTAACCTTATAAAGAAAGACTGCAAACAGTTTCACAGGGGAGAGGGAAGATAAGCACCTTAGACACCATCTAATCCAAAACCCCTCATTTTCCTCTTCTGAGGAAACCGCTCGCAGAAAGATTTCCAAAGGTCACACAGCTGGTTAGAAGCAGAGCAGGGACCAAGGACAACACAGAGAACTCCTTCTATCCAGGCACCTGAATCAGAATAAAAGTTGGGGCAGACGGGAGCTAGAGTTAATGGCTAATGTTGTAGTTGTGGACAGTGTGGAACTTTGCTCTATCTGCAAAACAGTGTAAACCTTTTAAGATTTTAATCTAATCTTTTCATGCTTTGCTTCATAATACAAAGCAATTGTGATTCATCTCTAGGGCACCGGGTGGAAAATCCTTACGATTCATATTTCAGCAAGGTTGTTTCCCAACGGCACTAGACCACTTTGATTTCTACAACCATAGTAATGGAAATACAATGAATGGCACCAGGGATGTCTAATGAAACCATGTATGATGAAAATAACTTAATCTCATTGCCCATCGAGTTGATCCTAACTCACAGTGACCCTCTAGCACTGAACAGAACTGCCCCTGTGAGTTTCCTGAGGCAACATCTTTACAGGAATGGGCCACCACATCTTTCTCCTGTGAGGCTGGTGGGTTCAGCCTCTGTGTATGAACCCACGACACCACCAGAGCTCCTGGTGAGATGAAAACAGCCTGTCTCAAATACACTGTTGGCAAAACCGTAGCACAGTGAGTGATACAGCAAAGAGGCCTGAAGAATCTTAAGAGCTGGGTCCTGGTCTTGGGTTTTTATTCTACTTTCAATGATCTAAGATTCTCATTTGTAAAAGTACCATTCCCAGTCTCAGATTTCATCGTTTTTGGACACCAGATCTTCTATATCTGTATTGTCCAAACTGGGCAATACCACCCCCTGCAGGGTACTGGACTGATGGGGGGTGAGGGCGGGATGGGGGGGGTGGTAAGGATGAGGGGGCCTGTAAAAATAGATACTTACACTCTATCCTGGATTATGGGCTATAGTACAACAGTACAAAAGTTTTTCATTGCCATGGGAGCACTGAATAACTCGTTTTTCTGGAAAGGGGGTCAGTAGGTCAACTAAGTTTGGGACCCCATGTTCTAAATCCTACTTTGGGCTGTTTCCATCATATTTTGAATTAAATTCAATCCTTCTCTGTATTTTCAGATTAAAACTGAAAAAACCTACACATTATATCCTTCAGTGAAAATACCACTATCATACATTTTAATAAAATTTTGTCATGTTTTTCAACCTGAGGTGCATCTTTCTCAAACAAAAGTACCCTTAGCTGCCTTTTTATTTCTTAATGGTGTCACTGACTGATAAAGTTCCGAGTACTCTAATGCTCAATTATCCATCCTAAGTCCTGGCCCCATTTTCGTAAGCATTATAAAATTTCAGTGTTTTTGGTCCAGAACCCTTAAATATTACAGAGTAATAGGAAACTTTGAGCATTACTTTCAAAGGTATATCATCTGTCCAGTATTCAGGCAGCTGTCTATGAAACATACTAAATTTTCTGCTGGTGTACTTGAACAAGGTAGTCATTTCAGCTAGGTAGTATTTTAGAAAGTGACTGAGAAAAGTAGTTTTTGTTTGTTTTGTTATCTAAGGGTTCACATGAGAATTAACAAGTTTTGGTAAAGACAGGAAGGAGTTGTGCATCTTTTAGCATTTCCTAGAATTAAGTAAGCTACTATAAAAACTGTGGCCAGTCAATTCCAAAGAAGAGGTGAATCTAACAAGTGTTTTGTTAAACCACTGCCAAAGATTCAGTCCTTTATGATCTATAGTAACTAGATGAAAAACTGTGAGGCTATTAGAAAAAGAATACATAAGTTTGAAACAATTAGGTAACAGTCACAGAACCTTAAAAACTGAAATTCACAATCACAGTGGTAACTTAAAAATAAAGTTTACGTGACTATGAGGAGTGTTTACTACTTTAAAAACTTAAAAAAACCAACAAAAACAAACATTGCTCTTACGTTGAAGTTTTAAAGAAGCACACTATCCATTACTTAACATCGTAAACAATATTACTTCTGTTTCCAAGCCTCAAACGAAGGCTTTGGAAAGAGTGTACTTTTTAATATCCATAACTCTATGAAATACATTACTATTTCTCCCATTTTAAAATATGTGAAACTGAGTCTTACAGTCCTATAACTGTACTCAGTCACAATAGTCAAGGGGATTAAAATCCACACCTGCTGCTGCCTGCAAACCCATGGTCTACACTGCAAACCAAAGCACACATCCATGAATTCTGTTCTGACTACTGGCAACACTGTATACTACAGAGAAGAACTGTACTTCCTGGGGGGGAGTGGACACAGCTATTTTTATGGAAACTGCCAGGGATTTCTCCCATGGTGCAGCTGGATAGTTTCAAAGTAACAACTTTTATGTTAATAATTGAGCACAAACCATTTGTGCCACTCAGGGATCATTTTATTAAGTTATAATACTAAACTAAAATGCATAAATAGTTTTGTCTTTTTAATAATTTTAAATTTTAGTTCAATGAACTTCAAATAAATCAGTCTCCTTGTAGCTCTTTGCATGGCTTTAATTTTTGTTTGCTTTTTCTCCCACTTGGAATGTCCTAGATAAATAACTACCAAACCCCACGTTGATGCTGACTTCTCTTGACCCTGTAAGACAGAACTGTCCCAAACAGTTTTCAAAGCTTAATCTTTACAGAAACCGTTTGCCACATCTTTCTGCCTCCGAGGACTGGTTGGTTTGGACTGTCAACCTTGCAAACTGGACTACCAGAGTTCCTGCTAAATCATTACACTTCCTTCAAATGTCAACCCATTAATTAACATTTAACTTAGAGCATTTAACTCTCGTCTCTAGATTTTCACAGTAATGAACAATCATACAGGCACACATTCTTTGAGAAATGAGTATGAGTTAGTTCATTGTGCCAACCTGGCCGATAATCACATGTGGGGCTAATTGAAAGGCGGAGGGATAAATGGGTGGTGAGCCTCGCCTTTCTAGTTCTCGGGTCTTTTGCTTTGTGATGGTCACACCAGGATGCAGCTGCCTTAGCAGCTCCCAGCTTCAGCTTGCAAGATTGACTTCCTACAAGACATCCCCAAGGAGAAGCCACATGGACCTATCCTGGGTGCTGCAGCAGCCGTGTGGAGACCCCTGCTAGTGCTGAGATGCTTATTCCTTCACTGACTCAGCTTTCCTCCTGCAGTCGGCATCATTGCCTGTTTTGTGAGGTGGAGGACTTTGTGGACTGGTGTTGGGTTAATGTTGGACTTGTGGGCTTGGGCAGCATTGGGTTGGGATGTTTTCGTGATGCACACTTTTTTTACATAAAACCCTCTTATACATGAGTTGCTAAAGTACCTAGACTAATACAAGTATGTTTACAAATCTTGTTGTCCTACCATCTCACCACTTGAGTTATACAAATAAACAGAACAATATTCTGGAAATTCTAGGTTCGAATCTTTATTATACCACTTAGTACAATGTATCTTTACCATAGTTATGTCACAGATTCCACACACATAAGAGTCTGAATTTCAAATTTTGGGGGAAAAAACAGTAAAGCCAAACCAACTGCCAGAGAGTCAGTTCTGCGAGTGGCTCCGTGAGTTACGGAGAACTAAGCTCATAGAGCAGTCTTGGTTGTTCAAAGTCAAGGCTACTCAATTTCTAAAAACTATCCTTTGAACACCTCCTCTTCCTAGTCTAATCCTAAAATGAGAAAACTGGACAATATTAATTTTCCTGTCTTGGGCCTATGTTCGTATCTAAAAATAGGGTCTAGAGATCATATTTCACAGAATTATTACCAGGATTAAATAAAGGCTCATATAATCAGCCTTGCATAGGATTTGGTCCACAGCAGTTGCTTAATAAAGATTCGTTCAGGTTCCTTAAAAATGAAGTGTACAACCCAAAATAGCATTAAGCACACATCACTGGCTTCAAGACTTGGCAACATGACTTTCATACCCGTCTCTTTTGTGCTTTTGATATCCGAGGCTGCTGAGTTTCAAGAACCAAGTTTGAAATGTTAACAGCAACAGAATCTATCTGAAGAAAACAAAAAAATTACCAAGTTAATAAAAATACTTTAAAATTGAAATTATTAAATTATTACTGAAAATCACCAATCTGTGAAATCCAAAGCTGCAAAACTGAGAACAGTACCAGACAACATCGCAGATAGTTTTTCATTGTTTCTCTATTTTCAGAGAATTTTCAGATTCCCAAGCAGCTTCCTGAGAGCTCCTCAAAGATATATGCTCAACATAGCAGAACTCAGCAGTCACCTCTTTGAGCAAGATAGTTGAGTTTGAATTCTGACCTTGGAAGGCTTTTTTTTTTGGGGGGGGGGGAGGAGCATATATTATACCTACAAAACCAATGTGCATTGCACAGCACACATAGGAAACATACAGGTGTGGCTTGGTTCAGAAAAAAACATGTAATACTGGCATTATTCAGGTAAATATATGGTGCCACTTCCACTACCTGTCAATTGGTCAAACTACGATGGCTTATGTGCTGCTTTGAGCTATGGCATGCTTTGTCAAATACCAGCTAGGTCATCACAGTGGACAGATTTCAGCAGAGCTTCCAGATGAAGACTAGGAAGAACAGGCAATCCAGTCGTGAGAGATTATCCACTGACACCTTATAAATAAATAGCAGGGGAACCTTGTCTGACATAGTGCTGGAAGAGGGGGGATCCTCAAGTTGGAAGGCACTCAGCACGACTGAGGAACAGTGTTTTCACAAGATAGGATCAACTTCAGTGGTAGAGATGGGCAACGTTTTCAGGACCTTCCTTTTCAATGGGACGCAACTCAAAATGAGAATAAAGAGCTGCAAGCATCTATTAATAATCAAACCTTGGCATGTACACAGTATGAGTTAGAAAAATTGGAAGATGTCAATATTGAAATGGAACACAGAAAGATGGGTCTCCTAGGCATTGGTAAGCCGAAACAGACTGCTGTCAGAAATTTTAAACCAATTATATGGTCTTCTATACCAAAAATGCCAAATTCATGATGAATGACATCATGGTCATCAAAAAGAGCATTTCAAGACCTATCTTGAAGGACAAGGACATCTGTGCTAAGATACCGTCTATACATCTACAAGGAAGACCAGTTCATACAGCTACTGTTCAAATTTGCCATTTAAAACCAATGATGAAAGAAATAGAAATGTTTGAAGTTCTACAGTCTAATAACAACCAAACGTGCAATCAAGATGCTCTATTATTGGCAATTAGAATGCAAAAGTTAGGGAAACAGATCAGTAGTTATAAAACTTGGCCCAGGTGATAGAAATGAAGTTGGAGACAGCAAGATAGAATTTTGCAAGAACAACTTCTTCATTACAAATACCTTTCTTTCAACAACCTAAGAGGCGACTATACACACGAACCTCATGTGACAGAATATACAAGAATCATCTGTATAGTCTTCTTCATCTGTGGAGAAGTTCATTTGTATCAGCCAAAACAAGACCAACAGCCGACTGTAGTACAGACCATCAATTGCTAGTATGCAAGTTCCGGTTGAAGTGGAATAAGCTTAAAATAAGTTCCTGAGAGCCAAAATACAACCTTGAGCATATCCCACCCCAATTTACAGCTCTCAAGAACTATATGATGCTTTAAACACTAATGACCGAAGATCAGACACATTTTAGGATATTAAGAACATCATACAAGAAGTAACAAAAGGTTATTAAAAAGGACGTGAAGGAAGGCCAAAGGGGATGTCTGAAGAGAGACTGAAACTTGCTCTTGAAGGCAGATCAGCTAGTCAACGGGAGCAAGGAAGTAAAGGAGTTGAACATAAAATTTCAAGGGGCAACTTGAGAAGTTAAGATGTTATAATGAAATGGACAAAGACCTGGAGTTAGGCTGCCAAGAAGGAAAAATGTGATCGATATTTCTCAAGCTAAAAAAAAACAAAGAAAAAATGTAAGCCTCAAGTTGGGCAAAATATTGACCTACATAGCAAAGATCAAAAGCAAATGGAATTAGTACAGTCGCTGTATTAAAAAGAAATGGTTGCAGACAACCACTCAAGAGAGAGCATATGATCAAGAACTGTTATTGAAGAAAGTCCAAAGTGCACTGATGGCATCAGCAAAACGCAAGGCTCCAGGAACTGATGGCAAACCCATAAAATGTTTCAAAAACCATAAGCAGTGCTGGAAGCATTCACTTGTCTAAGCCAAGAAAATCTGAAAATAGCTACCTGGCCAACTGACTAGAAGAGATCCTTATTTGTGCCATTCCCATGAAACGCCACCCAAGAGAATGCAGAAATTATCAAACAGTATCCTTGTGACATGAAAGCAAAATTTTGTTGAAGACAATCCCAGAATTGTAGCAGCAGGAAATTGACAAGGAACTGCCTGAAATTTAAGCTGAAATCCAAAGAGGAGGTGGAACCAGGCCTATCACTGCTGATGTCAGATGAATCTTGGCTGAAAGCAGAGAATTCCAGGGATGACGTTAGCTTGTGTTTCATTAACCAGGCAAAAGCATTTGACTGGGTGGATAACAACCTATGAGGGAAAACGCCAAGAAACTGTGCTCACATGGAACCTGTACAAACTGAGGTAGTCCTTCAAAGAGACCAAGGAGATTCTACATGGTTTGAAATTAGGAATGGTGTGTGCCAGTGTTGGATCCTTTAACCATACTTATTCCATCTGTATGTTAGACAATTTATCTGAGAACTGGACTATATGATAAACACAGCATCGGGTTTGAAGGTAGATGCATTAACAATTTGTGATATGCAGATGACACAACCATGTTTGTGGTGGAAAGGGAGGAGGGCTTGAGGCACTTACTGATAAAAGAGCAAAGACTACAGCTTTCAGTGAAGATACAACTCAATGTAACCAAAATAAATAGCCCCACAACTGGACCAATAATCGGGCCAATCTACAGCAAAAGGTCTCTTGACAGTGTTAGAGCAAAGCTGTAACTCTGAGAACTTCATATTCATGTAAAACCTGGAAAATGAATACAGAAATGGGGAAGAATTGAAGCACCTGAATCAAGGTGTTTGCAGAAAACATCGAAAGTACCAAAGGCCTTCTAAGAACAAATATCTATAAGTGTAACCAGAATGTTCCTTGGGAGGTGGGTGCGACTCTCATACACTTTGGTCATGAAATCACGAGGATCCAGTCCCTGCAAAAAGGTCGTCATGCTTGAAAAATAAGTGTGTCAGTGAAAACAAGGAAGACCCTCAATGAATGATTACTCCTGTGCCTGCAGCAATGGGCTCAAACACAACTGTGAAGAAGGCATGGGGACAGGCAGTGTTTTGTTCAATTACACATAGGGTTGCTCTGCTATCAGTTTGAACCCACCCAATAGCAACAATGGTGATTGTTTGATTTCATGGAAACTTTTAATCTAGCTCTAAATCTATTTCCTCATTTGAAAACTGGATCTATCAATACTTACCTCATAAAAAGAATGATGTGCAAATGCGCTTTACACAATTGATGTGTGTATGGATTGCGATAACAGTTGTATGAGCCCCTAATAAAATGTTTAAAAAAAAAAAAAAAGCACCTTGTACTGTATTACTATGAGGGCTAAATGAGATAACACATGCAATATGTTAAAATATTTAAGCACACAATGTTACCACCACATCCATCCTTTTCCTGAATGGTGATAATCTTAAAAGACATACGATGTTAAAGACATGGAGACTGTGACTTCTGTAACCCAAAACCCACTGCCATCAAGTTGATTACGACTCAAAACGACCCTACAGAGACCATTATATAGCAGGATAAAAACAAACCAAAAAGACCCAAATCAATTGCTGTCCAGTCAAATCTGGCCCACAGTGACCCTATTAAGAAAGATTAGAACTGACCCTGTAGATTTTTGAGATGTTCTACTCCATGGGAGTAGAAAGCCTAGTCTTTTACCCTTGGACAAATGGTGGTTTCAAACTGCTGACCTTGTTATTTGTAGCCCAATGCATAACCATTACACCACCAGCGCAGCTATAAAGCAGGTTAGAACAGGGGTTTCTTGATTTGTTTTGCCCTTGACAACAACAAAACAGCAACAAATGATAATAAAATATAATTATAGTTGGTGAAATTTTTCATAGCTGTGAAAACTTTAGGAGGGATCCCTAGTGGAACAGTGGTTAAGTGTTGGGCTACTAACTGCAAGATCAGCAGTTCGAAACCACTAGCCTCTCTGCAAAAGGAAGACAGGGCTTTCTACTCCAGTAAAGGGTTAGTCTTGGAAACTCAGAGGCAAGGCAGTTCAACCCTGTCCTATAGGGAAACTATGAGTTGATACTGACTCAATGGCAATGAATTTTAGTGAGTGAAAACGTAACTGTCAGTAGTGAGACTGTCGTCTATATTTGATATTTAAAACCCATGAAATAATCACAACTCTACAGAGATATAAGAAATCATGTTCACACCCTAGAGTAAAACAGCTGGTTTTGTATTTTAGCTTTGTCACTAAGTTTGACTTTGGGACAAACTTTTTTTTTTTTAAGCATCTTATTTTTCTTTAATGGGAAGCATTTCTTGGCAGAAAGTAATGAGACAAACTTCTAAACCTATTATTTCATTTTAAAAAATGGGATCATCTATACTTACGTCATAAAGAATATCTTAGTGACATATTAATGAGGATTAATTAATACATGCAATCTTAAAGTGCTTAGCACCAGAATAGATTAGCTCCAAACACAATTATTAGATTATGACAGCATAGCTCAATTTACCCAAAAAACAAGAAAAAATCATTCATTATGACTGGTGATGAAGTGCTCTTATAATTTAAAAAGTCTTATACTTGGGGTTATATTTGACAGTTTCAAGAATCTGTACTATTTGTATTATATATCAAGAAATTTGTGCTCGGTAGGATTAAGTAACTTTGCCTAAAGTATCAATTCTGTTCAGAGGCAACCGGGACTAGAAGTCTGATCATCTTACACTAGGTGCTACTTCCTCTAGGCCACTTTATCAACTGGGAGAAAGATGAGGCTTTCTACTCCCAGGAAGACTGACAGCCTAGGAAACCCACAGGGGCAATTCTACTTTGTCAGAGAGGGTCGATATGAGTAATCGACTGGAAGGCACTGACTTTATCAATCTATTGTTCTTTGAGGCAAATTAGTAGTCTAAGGTGTGAACCTGCTTTGCAAAAATACAGCATCACAAGCACCTACTCAAAAGATGCTAATGAAAGGTAAGGCTTGCCAACATTTCCCGACTTGGAAAACAAACCCTATGCCAAGCAGAGCAAAAATTACTTAACATACTTTATTCTCCTTAGATGTCAACTTCAATTGCTCCAGTTCCTCCCTATGCTTCTGTTCCATTTCTGCTTCCAACTTAGCAACATCTTCAACGAGCTGCTTCCTCCTCTTTTTGTCATTCTTGGGTACAGCATTCTTCATACTCTGAATTTTAGCTGAAAAGGCACCAAAACATGTCAGTGACCCAAGAGTAACAGAAAATAAGGTACAGGAACTGTAAAGGAATAATAAGGGGATAAAGGTATTAAAACAAAAAGAGGCATTACAGAAGACAGCAACAGGGAAGGGTCAAATAAAGACAAACCACCCCCCTCCCCGAAAAAAAAGCTCTCATTAACATAACTGAGATTGCATGGGTCGTTCAGAGGGTCAACAGAAAAAAAGAAAACCTGTACCAAGTTTTAAGTCTTTCAAATGGTTTGGGTCAGAGATTGTAGTTTAGGGCGGGGGTGCATGTCGGGCCTAAGGAGAGGGCGCCTACGAAGGCCTGGGAATTAAGGAGCAGCCGGGTACGGGAGATGGAAGAAAGGCCACGTGCTTCTCCAAAGCTATCTAGGAGGCCCCAGCCGAGTTGCCCTTCCAGGTTCCCCAGAACGGAGCGGCCACGCGCACACCCTTAGGTCGGGGCAACCCCTAGGTTCCCACTTGCCCGCCACCTTGCAGCTCCTTCTTCTCTTTGCGATGCCTTCTCATCAGCTGCTCCTCGTCATCAAGCTCCTCCGTCAAGACTGCCTCCATGACGACCAAGTCGCCCAGCCTCCGCGCGGGAAGAAACCTGCCCCGTGGCGGAGCGGGCACCTTTCACCCCACCCCTCAACCCTCACCTTGAGTATCATTGGCCACGATTCGCACGCAGCCCCGCCTTCAAGGCGGTACCGCTCTAAACGCCGCTCCTGGGAACAAGTGTCGGCGAACCGGATGTTGCGCGTGCGCAGTCCCGCGACCCCGCCCGCGGGCGCTGCTGGGCGGGGCGGCGGGAAGCGTGGCGACGCTCCGCACGCTTAGCCGGGATTCTTTCCGCTGCGCGGAGCCGGCAGCCTGGCGAACGCTCGCGCTCCCGTCTCCGGAGCCCGAAAACTACGCGCCAAGCTATTGGCCCGGAAGTGGGCGCGCGGTGATGACGTCAATAGCCTTTTTTTTTTTAATGCTCCTGCCTTGAAAGAGTACCTTTAATCTTTATGTGGGGTCCCATTACTACATAGGGCTATTGAAAAGGTAAGGAAGGAAAAAAAAAATTTTTTTAATAAAGTTAATCATTTTCAATGGTAATTCATTGTAAGGAAATTGTACGTTGACGTCAGTCTCAGGCAAAATAGAATCAACCTACAGCAAACTATGTTCTCCCCTGTTTTCAAGATAGGAATATCATACCACAGTTCACAAAAGGGAACCAAGAAAAGTGGTTGAGGAAATGCTGCCTCTTGAAATGGATATATGGTGGAAACCCAGGATATAAGTGTGTTTGTTGCAACATAGAAACTTAGAGAGGAATGGGCAGTGATACAGACAGGAAACTGTCAAAGCACACGAACAATGTCAAGGAGTTGAAAGATAGAAGCTTCTTAAAATCGAAATTATGAAGGAGCAAGTTGAATGGGGAGCTAAATCTAATTAACAAATGATATGTGAATGCAGGGGGAAAAGGAGGGCTGATTCAGGAGCCGCAATCAGGAATGCGTGGAGTGGGACAAAGCAAATGGAACTGCAGCAATAATTACAGAAGGCACTGAAGAACAATCTTCCCGAGTGAAGAACGAAGTACATCTGCAGTTGGTGAAAAAGCAATCGTAGAAATGTTCTGGTGACGTTTTTAAATCTTAAAGAAAAATGCACTACGTGTACAGTGAAGAAACATTACCAGTAAAGGAACAGAAATCAGGTTGAACATACTATTTTCCTCTGGCGATACTGTCAGAAGACAACAACAATAGCTACAGAGTTTTAAAGGAACGTTATTTTAAACCAGGAATGATGTACCTCGCTGTTTTTGTACAAAGCAACAGAGAAGTCATAGAAGTAAGAGTTACAGTCTACTCCTCAAGTTCTGCCTCGGAAACTTGCTGGCAGATACATTGCAGTCAAGAGAGAGCATCAATCAAAATCATTCAGAAGTAAGGATACCATAGTAGAGACAGAGGGTGAGCTTTAAAAGTAGTCAAACAACAGTACGTTGACCTGTTGCCAAGGAGGCGATTCACGCTCCTGGACCACCTCCCCCAACTCCCACCCCGCCCAACGTTCCTGAGTCGCGCTGTGCCATGGGAACAGGTGGCAGTAATCTTTAGGGAAGCATAGCACCAGCCTTTTGTCTAAATTGTTGTATGGAAGGTTTTTAAGTTGTGTAAACAGTAGATTGGTAAACTAGTTTTAAATTTCAGCTGTAAAAAGGGCATGCGAAATGTTCAGTATCCAGGACGAACAAATACGGGTTTATTTTTAGTATGTAACACTAGGTTAAGATGAACAAATTCTTGAGCAAAACTTAGTAAAATAAATGGCCGTTGTTATTATGGGTGGGGCAAATAGCAGAAAGGATGCTAAATATTAATCTGACAAAGTAGGGAACCAATAGTTTCATTTCTCTTATTTTCAGGGAGAAGATATTTTTGTATTTACAATTAAACTTATAGAAATAATTTATTATCGAATCACTGATTAGGGCCAAAAGAACTGATCACACTCATTGCTGTCATGTCTTAGTGATGCTTTAGGGCAGAGTGGAACTGCTCCTTTAGATTTCTTGACTGGAGCAGACAGCCTCATCTTTCTTCCACGGAGAAGTTGGTTGGTTTAAACTTCTGACCTTGTTAGCAGCTCATTGTGTATTGCACTAAGCCACCAAAGCTCCTCCTGTTGTGGGGGTGTAGATACAACCTGATTGTGCACATATCCTGCCTAGTAGAAATCAATAGTAAACACACACAAAAATCAGTAGTTACTGCTTCATATAGCAGTTCCCTTGTAAATAAATTTCACACTGAAGTGATACATGGAAAATTAGAATATATGAAGGGCTTCAAAATTTGTGGTAAAATGGATTTAAAATATGATGAACTTTTCCCACAAACTTTTTAAAACACCCTTGCATACATTCTGAATTTTTGAATGGCAAAGTCATAGCAAATGAAAAATAGCAAGGAAACATTTAAATTAGCTTAAACTGACAAAAACAGATGTTATCTTCCTCATAAGCTGATTAAATACCTACATTTTCTGGACAACAGAAAAGTGGGTGAAGGGAGACGTCGGACAGTGTAAGATATGACAAAATAATGACAATTTATAAATTGTCATGGGTTCATGAGGGAGGGGGACAGGGGGAGCAGGGAGGGAGGAGAAAAAATGAGAAGCTGATACCAAGGGCTCAAGTAGAAAGCAAATGTTTTGAGAAGAATCATGGCAACAAATGTACAAATGTGCTTGACACAACTGATGTATGTATGGATTGTGATTAAAATTGTATGAGCCCCCAATAAAATGATTTTTAAAAAGCAAATGTTTTGAGAAGGATGATGGCAACAAATGTACAAATGTGCTTGACACAACTAATGTATGTATGGATTGTGATTAGAATTGTATGAGCCCTCAATAATATGATTTTTAAAAATACCTACATTAAAAGGATTCAGCTTAGGTCAAGATTCACTCTAATCCCATATACTCACCTCTCTTAAAACTTAAAAAAAAAATTCATTGCCATTGAGTTGATGTCCATAGGTCAGGATAGAACCACCTCTGTGAGTTTGACACTAGCTCATTATAGGAGTAGAAAACCATTTTTCTTCCACAGAGCATCTGCTGATTTAGAACTGCTGATCTTGAAGTTAGCAGCCCAGCACATAGCCACTATGCCACCAGGGCTCCTTTGTATTTCTATTAAAGAATACCAAATTTTTTAAAGCAATGGAAACTGTAAACCAGAGGGATAGAAATGAATAGTCAAACTCACTGCCATCAACTAACTGTGACTCATAGCACCCCAACAGAACTGCCCTTTTGGGTTTCTAAGACTTTAAATCTTTATAGGAATAGGCAGCCTCATCTTTCTCCCCCATAGTCACTGGTGGGCTTGAACTGCAGATCTTGTGGTTAGAAGCCTACTATGTCACCAAGGATCTTGTGAGAAATAGAAATAAGGAGCAATATTTTCCTAAAATAAAATTGAAGCACTTAAAAGTTATTTTCTGTTATAAAAGATGTACTATAAATTATAGCATTTAAGAGATGTTATATGGTAAATAACAGTATTCATATAGAAGTGCATGTTCCATATCTTGATGTGGGGTTAGTTTTACTGATATAAAAATAAATCATTGTGCACTTAGAGTTAGTGCATTGTATGCCCTTAAAATTCGTGGAGTAATCCTTTAACAAAAATCACCTATTCTGATGTATGGTCTTTGGTGAAGCAAGTAAGAGAAAAGAGATTGTTGCTGCTGCTCTTGTTATGGGCTGTCAAGTCGGCCCCAACACAAACCTGAGCCCTGCACTACTGAACTCAATGATGCCCAGTATTGCACCGTCCTTGTGATCGATTGCTGAACTGTGGAGTTTTCATTGGCTTGTTTCCAGAAGTAGATCCATCAGCTGTTTCTTTCTAGGCTGTTTTCTAATGTAGTGAGATACCCAGATTATTGTAGAAGTGAGGGTGCGGAGAGGGAGAGGCAGATTGGGTTAGATTATTGTGCTAGTCTGCATAGACTAGAGAAACAAATAGACACTCATATGTGTATAAGAAAGAGCTTTATATACAGGAGCAGTTGAATATTGAGAAAACATCCCAACCCAGTCCAGATCAAGTCCTTAAGTCCAATATTAGCCCATATGCCCCATACCAATCTATAAAGTCCTCTTCAGACTCACAAAACACATGCAATGACGCTGAATGCAGGAAGATCACAGGCCAGTGGGTGGAAAGTCTTGTGGATCCAGTGGTGTAAGCATCTCAGCGCTGGCAGGTGTCTCCACGTGGCTCCTCCAGATCCAGGATTCTCCCTGCCATCACCATATCCCCATTTGTCTTGTCAGTAGAGAGTCTCTCAGGGAGTGAGTTGAGAGTGTCTCCCACCTCCAAGGAGGAAATACAGGAGTTCCCAAAATCCTCAGAAGACCATGCCCACACAGAGGTCTCATTGGCTATATCCTGATTGACAGGCTAGACTCCACCCCTACATTCTTAATCTTCTCATATTGACAATTATATAACTACTACAATTATTTAGATTTACTAGATAAACTCTTTGCAGGAGCTAAAAAGCAGTGATTATTCTCTAATGTTTCATAACTTTATCCTGAGTAAAATGCAAAGAAAAAATAGCCTCACAGAATAGATGCATATTGCTTACTATTCAAAAAACCGAAAGTAGGCTTGACTAAAATAGAAAGTAAATGTTTAGAAAATAATGATGGCAACCTATGTACAAATATGCTTGATACAACTGATGTATAGATTGTTATAAGAGCTGTAAGAGCCCCCAATAACATGATCTTAAAAAAAAAAAAGAAAAAGCATTACCCCAGTCTTTGATGAGTCCTAAAACAAGTACTAATTTAAACCTAGCTCTCTGAGGGCAAGGGATCCCCCACAGGCATCACAGTTTAATATTAATCAAAGATGTAACATGCAATTATTTTAATTATTTCTAAGATGGGAAAAACCTTCCTGCTCAGCAGGAGAAGCATGAATGGATAGAAGTTATTATTTGTAAGGTAACTTAATCCTAAAGGCGCTGTGCTGGCCCTATCTAGGGTGGCAGTGTGACACCAATGGTTTGTGCTCGTCT